TCCTTACTTGCTCAATATTTCGCCATTGTTTAATAGCTTCATCAGGAGCGAACTACAAGATTTTTAAATGAAACAATGCACTAATAAAATAATTTAAAATTACTACTTACAGGATTTGAGCCAATCGAATAAAATTTTAAATAAAAACAGCATTACACTTAAACAAACTTTCGGACAGTGGACACTTTAAAAATTTAACAAGTTGATAAAATTAAAAATAAAAAGTGTAGACTAGAAATAATTGAGATAAAACTAACTGATTTTTAATATTGTACAGAGTGATACTTAAATTTTATTTAGTATATTACAATAAATGTTACTTAGTTGGTTTATATCAGATTTATAATTAATAGTGTTTTTGGTTTTATTAATGTAGTACATTTCCAGAAATAACCTATTCTTGTATCTGTTTTCTTTTCCTAAAATTTTTATCTCTGTGTAGTCAAAATCATGTCCCGTATTTATATGGTGCTCCACCGCGGCACATGTATTTTTTTTGGTACGGCAATCGCTTTTGTGTTGAGTGACTCTTTGTCTCAACCATTGTCCCGTTTGTCCTATATAACATCCATTGCACCCTGAACAAGGCAAACTGTTAACAACATTGCTGTTGAATAACGTTGGTGTTTTATCCTTTACTTTTGAGAATACGTTCTTGATCGTTAGCGGACTGTAAGGAGCAATTTTTAAATTAGGAGCATTATTTTTGAACAGGGGTGTAATACGATGAGTTAAAGAGTGTATTAGAGGAATTCTTTTATAAATTAAGGTAGTTGGTTTATCTTCATCTGTGGGACCATCGTACAAGTTAGTGTTGTATATTAACTTCTTTAAGATGTTCTTTGGATACCCGTTGTTTACAAAACTGTCAAAAAGCTTCTTGAAATTGTCTTGAATAAAGTTATCATCGCTGATGTGTGAGATTCTATTTTTCATAGCAATTACAGTATTGAATTTTTGATTTTTTGGATGGTTAGAATAAAAGTTTAAAAATCTATCAGATGCTGTTGGTTTTTGGTACCAATTTAAACTTATTTTTTGTGCTTCGGTACGTATTACTTTGGTATCTAGAAAGGGCACAGAACATTCATTCTCGGTTTCTATTGTGAACTGTAATCTATCATTGAAGGAATTAAATATATTCAATGTTGTTTGTATTTTGTTGGCTGGAACAGCGCTGATCATATCATCTACGTATTTATACAAGAAACGTAAATTAAACGGTAACATTGGAATAACACTATCGAGTAACTCATCTAACACTATTGTAGCTAAAATAGGACTTATAGGAGAACCCATTGGAGTTCCAAACTAAGTAACATTTATTGTAATATACTAAATAAAATTTAAGTATCACTCTGTACAATATTGGCCGAGCGGCCTTAGGCGCGGGTTTTCGATCGCCAGACTCACCGATCGTGGGTTCTAATCGTCCACGGCTGAAAAAAAAATAATTGGTTTTTTTCAGCAATTTTTTTTAATAATTAATCGAACTATAAAGTACAAAATAAATATAGTTTAAAAAACTGAAAAACACGCTTTTATTATACATCAAACTAAAAAGTTAAAAATAATTTTTTAAATAAGCTTAAAACAATAATAAATGGAAAATACTAGTATTATTGTGAAATAAGCGTGGGGCGCTTTGTCCATATTTCTCGTACTTTTTACTATTATTTAGAGGCAAAAAATATTTCTCATAAAACGTTGTGCATGGCCTTTAACCTAAAACTCAACTACCTGATTTCAAATTTTATCAGTCGTATACGAGGTTTAAAAAATATGATTTTGCTCAAGAGTAAATTACCTTTATTTTTGACAAACCTCGTATGCAACTGATAAAATTTGATATTAGATAGGTTAATTTTGGGTTTTAGACAATGCATAATTTTTTATAAAAATGCATTTTTTCTTAAAAATATTTTTTTTTTTTTTTCATTTGCCGCCAACTTTCATATTTGGTACTGTGACCAGTTAAAATAAAATTTCCTGAATTATCCTTTTCTTCAATTAAATTAAAATCTCCTAAAATTATAAAATTCAATAAAAAAAGTAAAATTAGGGTACTTTGGAATGGTGATTAAATGGTCAATAAAAAAAAATTAATAAGGTATATTCGAGTTTTGACTCACCCTGTACAGTTTGTATCGAATTGAAAAAGATAGTGCGTTGGCATAAAAAACTTTTACTGCAAAAAACTGGTTTTCAATTGTTTCTTTTGCAGTATACAAGTCAATGAAATCGATAGGATTTTCATACAAAACTGGTTATAGTGTGTGAAATACTCTGTGTAATCTAATTGAATTTGGTATTGTTATAATAAGAAAAGTAAGGGCAATTCAAATATAAAATAAAATACATTTCAAAAAAAATACTAATTTTAATATGTTTCACTTTTCTGGAGAACCCTGTATAATTGAAATTATTATTATATTGAATCATTTGAAAATTTGAAAACAAATTTCGAAATCTCCCTACGAACCCCAAAAGTGAAAACAAATACTTGAAGATTTTAAAAAAGCCGGGATCGAACCCGGACCTCCATATTATGTTTGCTAGACATCTGTCCTTTTCACTAGATAATCCACGACATTTACTGTTGAGATATCTTTTAAATTTTGAGCATTTTTTCGACTTTTAATTTTTGAGATTTTTTCAACACTGAAATGGGTAGAAGGGTCCCCCCTTTGAAAATTTTTTGTTATCTTAAAATTTTTTTATCAAACATTTTTTTCGACTTTTAAATTTTGAGAAATTTTTCGACTTTTCAATTTTTGAGATTTTTTCATCAACACTGAAATGTGTAAAAGGGTCCCCCCTTTGAAAATTTTGGAGATTTATTCATCAACACTGAAATATGTAAAAGGTAACTGTCTACATCATCGATATACGAGAACGAGCCTGAACTAGCACATCAAACTTCTGTCTAGGAATCTCCACAGTCAATGTCGGAATGGTTTAGTGGAAAGGGGGCGTCCATTAATTACGTGAGGTGTTCAAGGGGGGGGGGATAAAACTAAATCTTTCTAAATCTCACTTGGGGGGGAGGGGGGTTTTCGTAAATCTCACGTAATTTTTTTTCTACTAGAAAACGGTGTAAAATTGCGTGAAAGTAAAGTTAAATTATAGTGAAAGTATTTCTAGAATAAAATATGGAAAAATCTTATAATTATATTTATTTATTTTTTATTAATTTCCATTTAAGTATTTATCATTTAATTTTATTAATGTGATTTTAAATAATTGCAACACTCTCAAACACTAGTCTTTGCTAGTCTTAAATAAAAGTAATGGAACATATTGTGTTTTTGTTTTTTTTTAATAATCCAACACATTTACCCCCAAAACACGAATTTTGAAAAATCTCACGTGAGATTAGGGAAGGGGGGGGAGGGAGTTAAGGAAAATCTTACCAAATCTCGCCAGGGGGGGAGGGGGAGTCAAAAAATCCTCAAAAATACCTCACGTAATTAATGGACGCCCCCAAATGGCACATGTTTAGCAAATCTCCAAATATTTGTTTTTACCATTGAGGTTCAGCGATGGTCTTAATAATTCGTAGGTGGATTTTTTTTGAGATTTGTTTCCGAATTTTCAAATTATTCAGCCACTTATTTTACATATTTCTCTGACTTTTCGGATTTCGAATTGTTATTTCACGATAAATAAATTCACAATTTGTATTTTTAAATTGTTGCCTTTCATACATCTCGCTGGTAAAACATATTTTTATTTTTTTTTCCTGGGCTAGTCTGACTATGTCTCCGAATAACACTGAAGCTTATTGGCTTATTGTGTTTTACCCCATGTTAGTTCATAGCACCCACTCTGTCACTTTGTACCTTGTACAAGTTTGTACAGATCCTTGGGTGAGTGGGTTCTATACGTTGTTGGATCAATCTGGGGTTGTCCAAAAAGGGCCTGTCTTTTGCGATCTAGAGCTTCGCATTTGCACAGTATGTGTTTGGCCATTTCTGGTTTGTTGTGACATAGTCGGCACATCAGTTCCCCATTGTACATGCCAATTTTGTTCAAGTGTCCCTTTACTGGGGCGTGCCCAGTCATGAACCCTGTTATCACTTTCAACTGGTTCCTATTCATAAAGAGTAGTTCTCCAGTTCTTTTGGGACATGGTCTGCCTATGAAGGCTTTTCCATGTGCCTGTTTTGAGGTGCTTTTGCAATAGTTGATATGTTGTTCCCGAATCCAGTCATTTATAAAACCCCGGACTGTACTTTTTTGTACTCCTGGGTTTGTGTCTGGTTCCGGTGTTTCTTCTGACCCTCTTTTTGCAAGTTCGTCAGCCTTTTCGTTGCCTTCGATCCCTTGGTGACCTGGCACCCAAAATAGTTTTACTCTATTTCGGTCTGCCAGTGTTCTTAGTTCTTCGATGCATTCCCATACCAGCCTCGTCGTAACTTTCTGACTCGATATGGCCTTCTGACTCGCTTGGTTGTCTGACATTATTTGAATATGCTGATTTTCGACAACTCTTTCATTGTTCGTTTTTTCACATTGCAAAATTGCGTATATCTCGGCCTGAAATACCGAGTAATGTATTCCTATAGCATAGCTATGGTTAGTATCAGGGTTTTTGGAGAATACTCCCGCCCCAGCGCCTTCCGCAGTCTTATACCCGTCTGTATACCAGGTTTGTTCCTGTCGTTGGGCATTGGGCTCCCTTATGGTGATCTCCGCTCTTTCCTGTATTAAAACCTCAAAACATATTTAAAAAATCGATTAGTTTTCGCTCTACAGAGCGAGGCGTTACCGTTGGCCCAACTTCTATATATTTTTTATATTTATCCTCTTATTTTTTTATCCACATCTTCCGATATCCGTATGTTTTTACTTTTTTTGTTGGCATTTGGTATATAATTCTTTTGCACACACTTCACACATTAATTCAAAAATTCTACAACCCTACCCTTCTACTTTTTTCGATACAATATCTAAAATAGCGGCATTACATTTTTTTAATCATCATATCCCACTTTCAGGTAAGCCACTTAAGGAGGTGACTTGCTCGATGTGCGACTCTCATTTGGGACACTTAACTGAAAACGATGAAAAGAGCGCGACCAAGAAAAGATTCTGCATCAACTCTGCGTCTGTCAACTTCATTCCAAAGAAATAGAAGACTGGAGAAAGCTGAGATTTTTTAATATAAATAACGCAAGGAAAATTCAAATATACTTGACTTTTAATTTTTTTATATATATTAAGGCTCAATTCCATCAATTTACAATTAAATCATTTATAACTAAATTTTAAACTCAGTTTACTTAAAGTTGTTTCTCACCATCCGTATAACTAAACGAGGTTTTACTTGGAAGAAGTTAGGTACCTAAATCATTATAGGCTGTCAAAATCAAAAGTAACTAACTTCACCCTATTCATCTAACCATCTAACCCCACTTTCCACTTTGTTTTATATTTTGTAGTCATGGTAACTTTTGGTAGCAGTTAAATTAGTAAAATATTTTTTCTACGGCTATAATACATTTCCTTATCTGATGATACAAAGTAGACATTTATTCCCAAATTATGTTAATAAAATGTGCCTTGAAATGAAAAACATTAAAAAATATTGATCTACAATAGAGCTGTTTTCAATTATATAATTTACCTATAGAAACTAATTAAAAATAGTCATAAAAAAGTATACTGTTCAACTTGCAAGAAAATAAGTATCATTCCTTGCTCATATATATGTCTATTCATGTATTTTTTTTTTAAATCTTATCTTCACCCAATCCTTTTTGCGAAATAGCTTATGTTAATCTAGCTAAATTTTTGTGGTATTAATTTAAACTGTACTTTAAATCAACTAAAATTAGTCTACATGTCGGTGGAAACAACATTTTATTTAAATCTTGAAATCGGTCTTAAGTGTATGAATCATTTTTTATTTGTATTTCTTTTCTATTAAAAAAAAGATGGTTTGTAATTTGTGTTTTGGTTTTAAATAAATTTTACTAAATCAATTTAATGTTTGTTTTCTTTTTTAAGTTTTGGTTTTAAAAGGTGGGTAAAAATTATTATAATTTTTAAAAATATGTATTTTCTCTTAAATTTCTCAACGCAGTTGTTTATATTAAAAGTATTAAAGATCCAATAATCGAATTTCCTGTTAGTACCGAAATTGTTTCATGTATACGTACATGTCGATCATTGTAATTTTGTAATCACTTTGTAATCACTTGAAATAAATTAGTAGATGAGTGTATTATTATTCAAGCTTCAACGAATTTCAAAACGCAAATGAACATTCAACCTAAGTGCAAGCTTGTTATATAGTAAAATATCTGAAGCATCTTTGAACTTGAAGTTGATCGTGATTTCGTTCGTGTTAAATCGCGTAAAACGTGCCTGAAAGACTTGTCCGCTCGAACTCATTATCTTGCACGAACTTGTCCACGTTTATTGACTTGCTCATATTTGAATTAAACAAATCTGATGTGTCCAACACAAATAATAAAAATATTAATAATAATTTACTATTACTAGATACCTACTTAAATAATGCAAGTTTATAAAATATGTGCATAATTTAAAGAATTTTGAAGGTATGTATCAAATTTATTATTTATATTAATTGTAAACTCAGTAAAAATGATGCGACACTGGTAATAGTGTCTACACATTTCCCCTCTCAACCCAAACAGACGCTGTTGAATGCGGACTCTATGAAATATATATGCTCGAAGATCTAAAATACGTGAAATCAAATAATGGATTAAATTTAAATCTTATGTCGAACACAATAAAAATATTATTTAAAAAAAATCGCTTAAATATTTTCTATAAATTGGCAGACTATTTCAAATAAAAATTGTATCAGAGATGGAAGACTATGTCGCGACCCCCCTTAGATTTACCAGCCCTTCCCACTGGCAGTTTTTAGTGAATGTCAACTGAAATGTCACAGAAAAGTCACCAAAAATCGTTTAAGAATGAGCTTCATTAATGTGGCTTCATTCTTCAACGATTCTGCGTGCGAGAATATGATATTCTTACTTACACCAAAATCGAGAAAATATTTTTTAGACTACCGTAAACTTTACTGCGTGCATTTAAATCGGCCTACTGTAAACTTTTGACTTTCCCTATATTATTTTTTAAATTATTCATCAGATCAAAACAAACATATGTTGTTTGAAAGACAATTTAATATGCTTTAATGTTGTCTAATAATTAATTAATAACAGTAATGTTGTTTAATAATTATTAAAAAAAAAATATAGTTAAAGTCAAAAGTTTACAGTGGGCCGATTTCTATGCACGCAAGTATATATTTATAGGTTTTTGGGTTGATTCCATTAAGCAGGGTGTTCCACATAAGTACCGACACAGAACAGGTGCGTGTTGAGCACCCCAGAATATGATGTTTTAACGCAATTTACTTCTATATCAAGTTGTACCCCTATAATAGGTAAATTATCTAGGCGCTTCATAAGTCTTAATTTGGGAGTAAGTAAGAATTAATTGTAATATTTTAAGAAGTGATTTTGGGGTAACCCACCCTTTTTTTTCTCCTGGGCTCTTCTGACTACGTCTCCGAATAACACTGAAGCCTATTGGCTTATTGTGTTTTACCCCATGTTAGTTTATAGCACCCACTCTGTCACCTTTGTACCTTGTACAAGTTTGTAGAGATCCTTGGGCGAGTGGGTTCAATACGTTATTGGATCAACCTGGGGTAGGTCCAAAAAGAGCCTGTCTTTTGCGATCTAGAGCTTCGCATTCGCAAAGTATGTGTTTGTCCGTTTCTGATTTCTTGTGGCATAGTCGGCACATGAGTTCCCCATTGTACATGCCAATTTTGTTCAAGTGTCCCTTTACTGGAGCGTGCCCAGTCATGAACCCTGTTATTACTTTCAACTGGTTCCTATTCATTAAGAGTAGTTCTTCAGTTCTTTTGGGACATGGTCTGCCTATGAAGGCTTTTACATATGCCTGTTTTGGGGTGCTTCCCCAATAGTGGATATGTTGTTCCCGAATCCAGTCTTTTATGAAACCCCGGACTGTACTTTTTGGTACTCCTGGGTTTGTGTCTGGTTCCCGTGTTTCTTCTGACCCTCTTTTTGCAAGTTTGTCAGCCTTTTCGTTGCCTTCGATCCCTTGGTGACCTGGCGCCCAAATAGTTTTACTCTATTTCGGTCTGCCAGTGTTCTTAGTTCTTCGATGCATTCCCATACCAGCCTCGACGTAACTTTCTGACTCGATATGGCCTTAAGTGCCGCTTGGCTGTCTGACATTATTTAAATATGCTGATTTTCGACAGCTCTTTTATTGTTCGTTTTTGCACATTGCAAAATTGCGTATACCTCGGCCTGAAATACCGAGGAATGTATTCCTATAGCATAGCTATGGTTAGGTATCAGGGTTTTTAGAGAATACTCCCACCCCAGTGCCTTCCACAGTCTTAGACCCGTCTGTATACCAGGTTTGTTCCTGTCGTTGGGCATTGGGCTCCCTTATGGTAATCTCCGCTCTTTCCTGTATTAAAACCTCAAATGAAGTATTTAAAGAGTACCTCTTGGTTATGTGGTCTGATCTCATGTCTAGCACGTCTCCTGTCACTAACTTTGAGATGTGATCTGGCCTAATGTCAAGATTTCCCAGTGTATTCCCTAATCTGTAAGTACCTAATCTTGCCTCCACTTGTATCACATAGTGAAGAGGTGGGAGTCCTATTAGTGATTCCATTGCAGCTGTGGGGGTTGTTTTCATTGTCCCTATTATTCCGAGGCAGGCAAGTCTTTGTACCTTGCTTAGCCTCGTTATTGCTTTTCTTTGCTGTGTCTTTGGCCATCACACCAAAGCTGCGTATGTTATTATCGGTCTCACTACCATGTTATAAAGCCAATATACCATGTCTCGTTTTTACCCCCTTTTTTTTCCCAAAGGATCGCCTTGCCATCATTAACGAGGTTTCCGCTCTCCTTGTGGTTTTTTCTAGAGGCTGGTTCCAGGTTAGTCTCGAGTCAATCATATCCCCATATTTTACCTCCCCCTTAAGCTTGAATGCTTGCACCTCTTAGCTTTAGAGGCCCTAGTCCCTTCAATTTCCTCCTGCGGGTGAATGCAATTATGTCTCCCGCCTCTGTCCATTTTTTTACTATATTTAGAGCATTTTGCATTCGATCTCTTACTATAATGTTGTATTTTCCCTGTGCCATGATCACTAGATCATCGGCATATCCCAGGGTTCTATGTCCCTTATCTTTGACAGCCCTAAGCTGTCCACTACAAGGTTCCACAGGAGTGGAGACAGCACTCCACCCTGCTGACATCCTCTTGCTACCCGTGCCGCTATTGTCTCTCCCATAAGGGTTGTGTGTATAGTTCTCTCCCTTAACATAGCGTCGATCCAGGACACGCACGTGTCCTCGATTCCTCCTTGTTTGAGAGATCTAATGATCGATTCAACGGAGGTATTGTCAAATGCACCCTCAATATCTAAGAATGTTCCCAGTATTACCTAATATTGTAACCAATATTTTCAGATCTTTAAATCTGCCATCCACAAATATGATCGAAACGTGCTATAAAATTGGTCGCAATCAAGCAACAGGCGGCCATCAAACTATGTTGGTTAAACTTCTATCGAATGAAAAAAGGCATATGGTCTTTAAGGCATTTAAAACCAAGCAAATATTAAAAGCAAATGAAATAGGATTTACTAACAATGAATCACGTATTTACATCAATGAACATCTAACGCCTCCAACCAGCCAACTTTTTAGCAAAACAAGGGACGTTTGCAAGACAGTAAAAACTAGTTGTTGGACTAAGAATGGGAAAATCTTCGCCAAGAATCCAAATGACTCAAACATTTTACAAATTACCTCCGATAATGATCTCAACAGCATCTCAACTCAAGCTACTAATTCTAATCAAAACAATACAAATTTTCATATCTAATGTCTAACAGGCCCAATAATAACTATATTATCAAAATGTTAGAGGACTAAATTCTAAAATATCCGAGTTTTTTTTTTATCAACAATTACTTCAGACTATAATTTAGTGGCAATAACCGAAACTTGGCTTCAAGATGGTGCAATAAATTCGGAACTATTCGACGAGAATTATGTAGTGTTTCGTCGCGATAGAAACTTAGCCGCATCT